CGGCGCTTAAGTCTGAACTGTTTGAACTAGAATTTGTTATATCTATATCCGAGCTGCTTTCAGCTACATCATATCCGTAGAGAAAGTATCGTTCAGCAATTTCTTTTTCAGGGAACAGTATCTTTTTCATAATCCCATGGCGGGGCCATTTTGCAACATAGCAAAAAAATTTGATAGTGTTAACCCATCTGTAGAATAAATTGCTATCAGGTCAATGACTTGGAACGCAACGAATGGTCTGCGGTTTCCCCTCTCTATCCCTCTCTATCCCTCTCTATCGCTCTCTATCCCTCTCTATCCCTCTCTATCCCTCTCTACCCCTCTCTATCCCTTTCTATCCCTCTCTATCCCCCTCTATCCCCCTCTATCCCCCTCTATCCCCCTCTATCCCCCTCTATCCCCCTCTATCCCCTCTTATCCCCCTTCTATCCCCTCATATCCCCTCATCTCCCTCTATCTCTCTATCTCTCTATCTCTCTATCCCTCTATCTCTCTATCTCTCTATCTCTCTATCTCTCTATCTCTCTATCTCTCTATCTCTCTATCTCTCTATCTCTCTATCTCTCTATCTCTCCATCTCTCTATCTCTCTATCTCTCTATCTCTCTATCTCTCTATCTCTCTATCTCTCTATCTCTCTATCTCTCTATCTCTCTATCTCTCTGTCTCTCTGTCTCTCTATCTCTCTATCTCTCTATCTCTCTATCTCTCTACCTCTCTACCTCTCTACCTCTCTACCTCTCTACCTACCTACCTACCTACCTACCTGCCGACCGACCGACCGACCTACCGACCTACCTATCCACCTTTCTATTTTTCTATATATTGATCTGCCACCTGTGGAAATTACTCCAAGGGTCTCTGACCCCCCAACCACCCATGGATTAGTTGAGTACACATCTGCCTGCAATGTACAGAGCTTAATCTAAGGGTCTCTGGCCCCCAAACCACACATGGATTATTTGAGGACCCATTTCCCCATGTCACGGCATTATACATCGCTGCACCAAAATAAAAATGGTTTCATCTCATCCCTTCAATAACATTCAGCACCTCAAATAATTCATGGGTGGTCTGGAGGTCAGAAACCCTTGGGTTAATTTCCAGAGGTTGCAGACATTAGAAGAAGAAATATCCGCAGACAGGTGTAAAGCCTTGAAAGTGAGGATAATAAATAGTGCTGAAATATCAGGCTTGCATTGGGTCAGAAAGGAAAATGTCCTTGCTTTGGTATAGTAATGTCCAATAATATGGCATGGGAAGGTGGCTCCATGTGGGTCCTTGAAATAATCCATGGGCGCAGTGGGTGGTAAAAGATCCATTTCCTAAGGTTGCAAATATTGAGGTAAACAAATGTAGGGAGACAAATACAAAATCTTGAAAATTAAGATAAAAATTTAGAAGGGTGCCAAAAAAAATCAGGCGGCCCATGAATGATTTGGATACCCAACTCCCGGCACATCATTGCACCAATCCAAGAACATGTTCCTTTCTAGTCCATTGCAAAATTACTATTCCGCTACGGATTTTAAATTGTTTTTATTTTCGTATCGGCTTTGTTTATTTCAATGGGGGCTTCTCATTGTTTTTCTTCTATACAGAAGCTCTTTTTAAAAAAATAATCCTAATCTAGACCCTAATTATAAATTTTAAATCCCCAAGAGAAATAATCCAATAAATTAATCCATAAAAAATAATCCAAAGATTCAGGCTCCCCTAGGATTAACTTACACAAAGAACCCGCCATTAATGTTATATTTGGTAATATTATATATTTTTTAAAGTAATATTTAATAATTACAAAAAAAACAATTTGATTTTTTTTTCGTATTTGAAAGGCAATCAATCTGTCCAAATCCTACGTTTCTTTTTCGTACCCAAAATGTCTGTTTCACACTGGGCATGATTCAAATTGTGAGCCTTCTATTTCCAATCAGAAGGTACGGGTACTTTGTTGCGAACATCCGTGGATCAACTTCTATAAAACAATAGCAGCAGGTCATCAACATTCCTGAGGAAACGTTGCTGGAACGGGCAAATGGCGGTCTGATGCCAAAGGCCATTTGCCAGCTTAGCGGCGAATTCAGTCGAATCTTTTCATCCAATGGCAGCAGGACTTCACACTAGGTGATGCAGCTACGAGAATACATGAATCCTTCAATCTATATCAACCTGTCAGACGTATTCTAGAAATAGTTTCAACCAGAAACGCAATAAACTCTGGAAGTTGTGGCATATGGTGGCATGCTGAAACAAGCTTTTGACAAAAATCCAAAGTCCTTTTTGTCACCTGTTCTTGGATACCATACAAGTGAGAGGTGAAATGCATTTGTGCGAACTTTCATGATCCGCAGCGCAGCGACTTGCCCCGTCCTCCAGAGTTCTTTGACCCTGGATGGCACTCTGGCATGCATCTTCAGATGGAACCAGGTTGCCAGGAAGATGGACTTGCCTCAGCAATCAATTCCTTGAACCAAGCTTGGGATAAGTTGCTGAATGTCTAGCATTCTCGTGGGTTTTACTGGCACTATATTAGGGTATCAAACTTTCAAATTTTGGTGTCCCTGCCCCACCCAATTTCCACACTTCAGAAATGAGCAATTGCAAGAGATAGCAACCGAGCAGTTGGAGCACTGTTTCCGACCCACTGAAGTTTGCTGGGTTCTCCCTCAACACTTGAGTTGTGAGAAAAACAATTGTGATCACTACACTGCAGGAATATTGGCGGAAACCACTCCTACTTGGAAAAAATGGTGGTGTCCTGTGAATTTTCTCTTTCTCCGCTTCAAGTAATGAAATAGTCCCATCCCCCACATATTATACACCCCCTAAATGGTTCGAAATATATATGTAAATTCTTATATCAAAATCTATCTGTGTATATATATATATATATATGTATGTATGTATGTATGTATGGATGTATGGATGTATGGATGTATGGATGTATGGATGTATGGATGTATGGATGTATGGATGTATGGATGTATGGATGTATGGATGGTTTCTGGGGGGTGCTTACTATCGGGGGGAATGGGATCAATCGTCCAAGAATCAGTATGACTTGGTGTCGGTCTTCAACACCAGACTGCAAGGGCACACCTGGTGCAGTCGGGCAACTCACATGTTCAATGATGCGACAGCGGGACGGATCCTTGATACCCTGCAGGAAAGAAACACGTCGTTATACTTTCTTTTGGCATAGGTATTCCAAAAGCATGTTTTGCCCCATTGATCTAAAGCTATTGTTTGATCAACCCGACGTCCCAACGAAGCTTTACCCAAACAAGAGAGTCCTGTTCGCACCAATCAATTTTTAGCACATTTCGCTATTGCAAGCATGATATGTTCTTTGTCTTGGGAGGGAAAAACCAATAAATTTCGGGACTTCAACATCTGGAGACTGCAGAAATTCTCTAATGATGTGAAACTTATAGCCAACTCCGAGTGTCCAGCGTAATTCCACCCATTGTTGCTTTATATCATATTTGATTCTTTTTCTTGACATGGATAGATATTATTGGTCTCTGCTGGCCTTTCTTTAAATGTTGTTAATAGAATTATTAATAGTTAGTTTTGATGTGTATTTGTGGCAACATAAAATATTGAAATATATAACCCCCAAAAAGATGGAACATATATATACTTCCAGGATGCTACAGATAATGATTTATATGATTTTCGCATCATTTACAGGTTTCCATTTTGTTATCTGTTTGGGGTTGCTATAAAGTACAAAACGATCACTCACCAGTTGGTTTACCCATATTTGTCATTGTAAATTCGCCATCTCTTGTTGCTTAAGCTTATTTTGTCATGACTAAACCCCCCTATATCCATCCAGTAAGCATTCCATGACCACCGGTTATACCCCATTATATCATTTATATATACATATATATATATATATATATTTACATATATATATATATATACATCCCGTTTTATCCCATCAAGCAGCAGCAGGAGGATATGTTGATAGGTTTCCCTGTTAGCACCTCCCGCGGCGAAAGTTCACCAGTAGTCCTCTATATGGAAGGCCGCCATGTCCTGGCGACTTGAAGCGCACTCCAGACAGGCCACGCAAGATCAAATTGCAAACATGGACCCTTGAACGGAAAAAGTCATGTCATGAGTCATGCGGGTTCCTGAAGATGCACACTGGATGGCACTGGCTGTTAGTTGATCCTTGCAGTGTGGGAGGTGCCCTATTTCCCAGACAAACCCATATGAGCATCTTGAGGCGCTCACCGTCTCCCACCACGTTTCCATGTCCTGCGGCGCAAAGTGCCGGATACCGGCACAGAGACGCTTGAGATGTACATCCCCGATTGATGTAGATGCACGGATAATGTGAAGGGAGGATTGATAAAACCACGGCTTTACAACAACTGTAGTCATTCGGGATCATCCTATTCTTATGTTGGAACATCGAAAATTCTGGAAACCACCAACCAGTTACTCTCTGGTAATCAAACATGGCTGGGAAATCCCCCATTTGTATATTCTTTCATGGCATCACTCCTTCACTCACCTTCATGGGTTTTCCCTCCCCACTCTACTGTGCAAACCAGATCTCTTCCTTCAAACCCTTTGCTGACCAATTCAACAGTAACTAGAACACTATGTTCAAGTGTTTCGGATATTTTAAGGGTAACTCCAAATTGTAGCAATTCACCAGCGCAAAAAGTTCGACCATTTTGGGATAAGTCCTGTACGAGTACCCCAATCCTAACTATCATTCCAACAACGTCACAGTGAGGGCGTCTTAATTCATCAAGAGTATCCCTACTATATTCCCATTGCATCCCCATATTGTATCACCAATTTTTTTGGCTGGCTATATCCCTAATTCTGCTTGTTAAGTCGATATGTTTGATACTTAAATCACTACTTGTGATTGTTAAATGCCCATTTCTCATGGTGCAATCATTTTTGATGGTTCAACCGACCATTTGGAGTGTTCAACAACCCATGAGCTTGCGCCACCCACACCTCAGGCTCACTTGTCAGGGACGGAACTGAGACGGAACCTGCGTGGCGAAACCGGCTGATGGCTTACGATATATGCGCCACAACCAAGAACAAATGGGATATATCGGTGTATATCGCCAAAGATAACTGGGACGTATTATGATATGTATAAAATATTTATATGTATCGGTGGGTATATATATAGTTTTCCATGTATATATATATACATAATGTCATAGACGTCCCGACGGATTGAAAACCGCGCAAGCGTTTTGAGGGTTTGGTTTATTGGACCATCAGAATCCTCTGCAATTTACAAGATAAAATGCTGTTCCGCAATCTTGTGACATCTCAATTTTGGATAAAAAACGGGGTTTCAAAATCCATTGAATTGTGACCAAACCCTGTAAATACCACGTGTATCAGAAGTGGATTCGAGTATTTTTTCCACACCCATCGCCGGCTCAGCGATCCATCAACCTGCAAGCCGTCTTCGACAGCAAGTTGCCATTGTGGCACTCATAGCGCCATTGCCAGCAACACAGGTACAGCATGACATCTTTGTTATGCCCTGCTTTTGTCTGAACATGTCAGCAGCATAGCATCCACAGAGTGGTAGACGTCACTTCAACATGTCAGCAGCGTGGCATCCACAGAGTCTTGGAAGTTACTTCAACAAGTTAGCAACGTAGCGTCAAGAGCGTGGTAACACGAACGTTATTGCCCCACCCACCCCACCCCAACTCCAAAAAACGTGTTTTTACACGTACGGAAATCAAGCCGTAGGCAGAAACATTATATTATAGTGATGTATATATATATATACAAATATGTATGTATATTCATATATATATATATAGTCATATATATAGTCATACATATATATATATAGTCATATATATATATAATCATTTATATATATAGTCATATATATATAGTCATATATATATAGTCATATATATATAGTCATATATATATAGTCATATATATATAGTCATATATATATAGTCATATATATATATACATTGTCATATATATATAGTCATGTATATATAGAGTCATATATATATAATCATATATATATAATCATATATATATAGTCATTTACAGAGTGATGTCATGTAATGTCTATATAGTCAAAAACTATAGTGATATCATATCTATATATTCTTATAAATATATAGTGATTTAATATAGTGATATATATGTATGTATATGCAATGATGCGTATTATATATATATATTCATATATATATATAGTGATGTATATATATATATACATTGGTGTGTATATATATATACACATTGGTGCATATATGTATATATATATATTGATAAATATATATATGTATGTATATTGTGATGTGTATAGTGATATTATATATATATATACAGTGATAATATATATATATATGTACGGTGGGGAAAAAAAAAAGATAAGCTGGAAAAGATACGATTTGCAGTATAACATGAGGCAGGCTCTATATTGTTGGTTCAATGTGTTTCCTTTGCAAGGTAGTACATCCCATATCGTTTTCCAAGCCATTTTTTATACACGTTTGCAGTGAGCGCTCCATATGTGCATATATATATAGCCTTGAGACATAATGATAGATAGATTCCGCCTCATATATATATAATTTATTTATTTATTCAATTTTATTCATCTATTTATTTAAGCTCAACCTGAAACCTCCGGTGGATGGGTTGCAAATGGTTCTACTGGCTGATTCAGAACTGGGTTCTCTGAGGACTAAGTGCTGGTTCTGGGTTGCTAAACAGTCCCTATTGGTCGTTCTGTAGAACTTGTCAACCAACAGGATGCTTGACCACTGCTCATTTGGCTTTCAGACACTTGGTAGTGATTCGTATTCAATCTAGAAACCAGTCCCTTTTGGGAATGATCAACTTCATTCCAACCCCAAAACCATTCTGATATGGGCCTTGGTCACATTTCTTGCCCAACTAGCCTGTGAAACCTGTAGCTGCCAAATGGGCGTGGGTACCAAATTCCAGGCAAATCCCCGGGGGGTAATATGTTTGAACCATTGCATACGTACTTTTTCATCATTACCATGTGGGTGGCTGCAAAGATGTGTACCATCGATGACACGACGGTCACGGCACCTTGCACTGCTGAAGGGGTCTGAACCTTGGTGTTGGCGCTTGATTGCTATGGGATGGGAGCATTCTCGTTGTCAAAGGTAACAACCACAAGGGGAGATATTCTTGGTGAAATCTAGAATCCAGAAAGAAATCAAATTCAGCAATTCCAGGTATGAGTGGTTGGTAATCGCAACCTTTGTAGATATCCCCCATTGATCATGCTTGGACAGCTGGAATCAACTTGCAATGACTTTGGTCACTCAACAAAATATGGTCCCTTGTGCATAAATATGAAACATAATGCAGTATATATGAAATATTATCAAATAACGATAATAAAAGACATCACTGAAATTGATCTGATCACAGGTCGGTTTAGTTTTATGGGTATGTCGTCCCATAGAATATGTTGGCCAAGATTAAATCAACTGATACAATATTCAAGGAGTGGAAACTCCATGGATTTCAGTTTGACAGTGTCTCATCCCTGTCATCCCTCTGTCAAGAGCAGAAAATGATCTTGATTTTTATAGTTTCAAATTTCAAAGTACTGTAGAATGAGCAATGATTGAATTGCCCATGGCAGGCTGTGACCAATGACAGTAGAAGATATGTTTAAAGAATAAGTGTTTATACAATTTTAACCATTGATTTGCTCAAAGCATGGTTCTGTGTCAACCAAAATTGATAGCAGACTGCTACAGGCAAGTCACTCTTATCTAAGCCGCACTGCTCGCAAGAAACAATCACCACTTGGTGTGTTCAACCAGGTCTCATGTTACCAGTCGGGCGAGCATCAACAAAACAGAGAAAACGGGGTGTTTATAAAACTTGGAAGAAAAAATACGGGCTAGGTATGTGTCCCAAATTTTTGCACCCATCCAAATGTTCGAAAAACATTCACAAATCACCACACAAGTGCTCCATCTGGGACCCCAAGCTTCAGCAAGATCCACATGCTCCACCTGACCGGGGGTAAAAACACCTTGGAATTTGAAATAGCTGTGGTTTCGTTGAGCCACTCATCCGAAGAAAAATAAACATCATCCCAGGCCCTGATAGGATGGAAAATAAGCATGATTTGTCTGAGGAAAGTGGCAAACTTCAGGTCACCAGTTGATGTTTTTCAATGTATCCGGCCCCATGAGTTGGTCAATGGCAGTATCTTATTTGGCCACTTCCTTGGAACATCTTGCTATATCTTGCTTCATACTCCCTTATTTCAGACACGACACTTCCTTCAAACCCTTTGCTAACCCCCCCTTTCAGGTTTCACCTCAAAAGTTTTGCCAGCTGTAAGTGAAACGCAACATGGCTCACTTGAGCCCAAGGGAAGAAAGAAAGAAGCCCAATCTAGTAGTACTAGTAGTACAAAATCAAACGGGGGGGTGGCCAGCAAGTTGGATTATCCGATTTGTGGGGTCAGTTCCCCCCATGGTCCCACCATGTGGCCCTTGGTTGTTGGATGCACCTTCTCACAGCATTGGCGTTGGCCGGAATCTTGACCTATACAAAGGGGTGCCCCGTACTAAGACAAGTTTGGTTTTAACATGTTTTAACTATATAAATCATTATAAATCTATATAATAGAACTAAGGTTTGTATAAATCTCTAGTCTGATAACCAGATGGGTTAGATTGAGAAACCAAGGTATATTTCAGGGGTCCTGTGTGTACCGAATTCAACCAATTTCGATGAAAATTAATTGTTGTTATCACTAGAAAAAATGGCTTTGTTGAACTTCCACCCACAAGGCAAATGGCCACGTACAATGTGCGCAAATCCCCCCACCGCTGGGAGTGTGGTCCTTGCAAAGGTCATTGCGCTGGCTTTTTTGATGGTGGTCATTGGTTTTGCTATCCCACAAGTGGCAGGCCAGATTGCAGCTGGATGATGCTGCATGCTAAACTTAACTGGATGTAAAATCTTCACCTACTTTGATTTACAAGTAACCTTGAAATGTGTAGTCTTATCTAAGGGTCATGTCCTCACAGCCTCATCCCATGAAGCACTGAGGCACTGGCAACAAACAGAAGGGATAGCGTCCGGCTTCTGACCTTGACCAAACATGAATTCTGCATTTTCTGCCATCTGTTATGCATGAAAGACCCACGCTTTTGCGCTTATGATAACTGTAATTTCATGGGGATTTGATCCCGTCCCTGCATCACATGACCTTAAAATACCAGGTTTGCCATTCTTAGCTTCCAATCATGCCGAAAGAAATGTATGGCATGGTAAGGCAACCAAATGCTGAGTGTGCGAATGCAAAGACATGGCCATTTCGCCAAATGCTGAGTGTGTCATGTCCAATGTAGACCCAACACCTTATGGAGTCCGTAAAATTCCAAACGTGAACAATTATGAATCATATCAGGATTCCTCCCATCAACCCCGTCAAGTTTTTCTGGTGCTTTCCCCCACACCATGATTACAATCCCACTTCACCACCGCTTGAGGCGGTCCTTAACCCCCTTTTTAGTTGGTAATATGGCGTTCCTTGCTGAGACTCTTGCTTTACCTGCAGTTTATCTAGAGATATTTTGATGAAATCCCTCCTCTCCAGACCACAGCAGAAACTCATCTCCTAGACGTCTCGTCGGGAAACTTGTGAGGATAGTCGGCAATGGCACTGCCTCCGGTGGAAGTGGTTGCAGACATGCCCAAAACATCTGCTGGAAGCATATGGGGTCTTCAGAGCTAAAACCTTTCGGCTCACTTTGTTGATCTTTCCTAAAACAATCAAGTCTTGGTTTCTCGGCCAAAGTCTGCGCACTTCTGTGCAAACATCAATAATACTCATCACTTGCCAAAGAACTGTGGCACTCTTGGAGTCTATTGGCGAATCAAAGCATCATTGTGCATAGCCACAAAGGGATTTAAAAGGTGGGATAGATCTTGGTATCGTGCGTTCAAGTTTGATCAAAGTCAGGTAGCATCTGCTGACAAGCCGTGGCACTCAAACTGTGTGGCTTTCTGTGCTGTGTTCCGCTGCATCTTCACTAGGATTCACCATGTAAAACCGATCAAAACGACATGAAATGTCGTCGCAAAAGCTGTGATCTAATATTAGGGATGGGATTGCTATATATAAAGTATCTCCATTACATTTTTATTAAATTACATCCCTTTAATCACACATGGTTTCCTGGAAAATCACCGTTTTTTTTTGGATATTTTCCCAGCTATCAACCTCCATTTCGTTCGGGGAATTCCCAACCAGCCATGTTTACCTAGTTTATCTGAAGATACTTATGTGTTCATTAATATATATTCCACTATATTAGAAAATTATTTTAAAAAAAAAACGGATTTCAACTACCATTGAACCTCCGTTCGTCATGAATGATCAACCCATATGCCATATGCCACTCTCTGAGCTCCGAGGCGCCGACCTTGATCCTCCAGCCAATCCATCGGCCATTCTTTTTTGCCCACCAGACCTCCCACATCGCTGTCTGAGATCTTTTGATCACAGTCTTACAGGATGGGGCCCCACAGTTATGTTTGTTGGTTTACAAACCCTTATAATCCCCATTAACTATAGTCATATCTACCATAAACCATTGTTAAGCCACTTATAAACCAACTTAGCTATCTTGGGGGCCCGATCCTGTATGGTTTCTTTCCATTTTCAAGATTTCGAAATTAAAATCAGAAACAAGACAAACAAAATGTAGGTGTTATACGGTTATACCCATTTAGTATACACTATAGTACGTAATTAGTGAAGTATAAAAGCTACTAGTGTCATATTAATTCGTATTACAATTTATTATACATTATTTATTCATTATTATATATACTCTATGAGTGAATCTTGCGCGCTCAGTAGATAGGTTTAAGAAAATGCCCAGACACATGTCACGCAACTGTGTGTGTGTGTGCAAACAACTGGTAGTCAATGTGAGGCGCCTGCGACATTGATTGAAGCCCAAGCAGAAATCACGCAATCTCAACTAGAGCCAGCGCGGGAACAAAAAAACAATCCTCTGTGCCGGAGTAAAGACCAGAAAATCAGATTGTATTGATTCACATGCCGCAAATTTGGGCCGACTTAGGATCGTTTCACCGTCAGCAGGATGCGACTTGCTTGTGTTGAACCCATCTTTGACAAAGCAAACTAGTGACGAATGTCACGGATTTTGCCACCCGGGCTTGTCCCAGTTCGCTATAGTAAGTGGGGTGTCTCCGAAATATGTTATAATTCCAAATGAATGTATGGTACCCACCAGACAAATTGACGAAATGTCGGCTTATTTTCATGTTGGGTCAACAATATGGGTTGTAGTTGCCTGCTTTAAAAAAAGCAGTATCTCAAAAGCCTTGGTGATGTTGGCTGGTTGAAAAGGCATCAACGAACTCTGATTAATCAATAAATCCCCACATGTTTGGCGGTTTAAAACCATTAATTATCCCCATTCAATAGCTAGTAATAACGACTCAACCAGGGTTGAGCTGAAACTGCGCGGATCTTTTTCTTGGCCAAAAATGTCAGTTTCACACTGGGCGAACTACTCGATGACTCTCTGTTTCCCTTATACTTCCAATCGGAAGGCACAGTACTCTGCTGTGAACATCCGTGGATCAACTTATATGAACCAACTGCAGTTCATCATCATCAACATTGCTGGGGAAACGTTGCTGGAACGGGCGAATGGCGGTCTTGTGCCACATGCTAATTTGCCAGATCACCGGCGAATTCACAGTCCGCGAATGCTTTCATCCAATGGCAGCAGGACTCCACACCAGGTGATGCAGCTACGAAAATGCATAAATCCTTCAATCTATATCAACCTGTCAGACATGTTTTAGAAACAATTTCAACCAGAAACACCACGAACGTTGGAAGTGGTGACATGCTGAAACAAGATCTTGACAAAATTCCAAAGTCCTTTTTGCCACCTGTTCTTGGATACCATACAAGTGAGAGGCGAAATGCAAGCCTTTGTGCGAACTCTCACTGGCCAGATCTCAGTTGTGGCAGGTGGGACCTTCATACGATAGACCAGTTTTCTATGTAAGTCCTAGATTGGAGCCACGTCTGTGTACCACAGGATAGATTGCCTATCTTTACAAAAGTTGAGTACGACAGAGGAAAGCTGAGCCACACGGCGTTCTCCACCGAAAAAATATTTCTTGCCATTGCCCTCGAAGAGATGGCTTGATCTTCCAAATCTTCCCCCAGAAACCGCAGGAAAAGAAATCTGCAGGAAATTCGCAGACTTTGGGATTTAGTTACCTAACTAGGAATCACCCATTATATATTACATATTACCCATGGGATATTATCCATTACCCATTATATATTACATTATTATGGGAATTACCCAATTTATATACCCATGGGTAACCCATATATTATGATTATATATTACTAAAATCCCAGAAGTCCTACCCTGTGACCCTACCGTTGTACCCATGGCTGGGATTTTGAGGCTCCAACAGTCTGTGTGGTGTTTTGGAGCATCGTCAACAGTTCTGTTTTGCTCCACACCTCGGTAGCCGCAAGGATTTCCCAAGAGGTGATCGATGGTAGAGCAGTTTAATATATAAACTCCCAAAAAGATTCAGAAAAGTTACAGAAAGCTGATGGTGAAATCATCATCACCATCTCGGATTTTTCTTTGATTTTTTTTTACTACACACTAGTTTCTCGGGGGCGGGGGTGTATGTTTCTGCGCCAAAGGGACAGCAATGTCACACTTTCTTGGTGTCCAAGCATCCATTTTCAAGGGTCGTCTTCACCCACACCCAACATGTTGCTGGACATCTGAATTTCGATCAGCTACGCCCTTCAGGGAACCCCCCTGCTAGAGTTTGACTGCTCGCGAAACATGTAAATACGTCGTAATCAATAAAAACGCTGAAAATATATATTATCAGTGTATATATATACATATGTGTGTGTAATATATATATATATGTAATATATATATATATATAATCATTCATGTAATATGTATATATATATATATCAGTGACTGTCAGTATATAGAAGGAATGAGAAAAAAAATGTGGTTTCCTATTCACCAAAACAAAAACATCGTTCTTGACACAGTTTGAGGCCGGCCCTCGCCTTAGCGCCCTCTTCGTGGCCCCAAGGGCACCAATCTGCATCCCCTTGGCCCGGAAATGTCCCAAGATTCCCATGGGTGATGTTTTTCTCGGCTATACATTAGGCTATACCCCATAAATATCCAGGAATACGTTATACATGTGTATATGTGTATACATGTGTATATATATATAATTATATATATTTATATTCATATATTTAGATATCACCGTAGGAAATAACTTTACATAACTGGGTGATCATATCATATCGCCATCCTTTGGATATCGCTGTTGAGATCCCCGGATCTTCACCGGTCCTGGTCTCTGGGCACCCGGCTTTCCCGCTTCCTAGGCTTGCTGGGGTAGGCCCGGCAATGCCTCCCGCGGGCGCTGGTACAGGGTCTGAAAATGCTGAAACACCTCATGTTCATTAGATGTGTCAGATGGGTTTATAATATGATTTATATGTGTTGAAAATCTTTGAATCTGTTGAAAAAATGTTGAAACATATGAAAATGAGGTGTATATATCCCTTATATAAATGCTAGGGAAAACCATGGGGAAAACGATCAAACCAGTGGATTTTCCGGATGATTTGGTACCCGACTCTTCAGACAAAGCAAAAAATAGAATCATAGTTGAAATATGTTGAAATATGGGTATGGGTCAAAATTAGGTACCCCAATAATTGGATGGTGAATACTAAACTAGACTAACATCTGTGGTCCCCTAGGTCTTCCATTTTGACCCACATCCATATGTTGAAATTGATGCCCAATTTTGCTTTTGGATCTTTTGAAATATCCCCCAATCGATGTTTGTCCGAGCCTGCGGAGCAAGGCATACATGTTCCATCATGTTCCCAGCACACGGTCGCAGTGTACTGGACATCTTTCTGCACATGATACCCTCTGGTAAACGTTTACATAGCTATTGAACATGGCCATTTATAGTGGATTTTCCCATTAAAAATGGTGATTTTCCATAGCTATGTTAGTTTGCCACATGATATCTTGAACTATCAACTGGGTCCCACGAGTCCATTGAGGGCTGCGCCTGCTTCGCTTCAAAAGAGTTTGCCATGGCATAGATACCTTCGATGCGAAACCGCGGTGATTTCAATGGTATGATGTCAGAAGACTTCTCATTAGATCTCAAAGGTTCGCAAAATGCGTTCCCCTTCTTAGAACTGGTTGGTGGTTTTAACCATCTTGAAAAAATATTAGTCAATGGAAAGGATTATCCCATATATTATAGAAAATAAAAAATGTTCCAAACCACCAAACAGAGAAGATTGAACCCAGAACCCTTAAGAACAAACGAAAAGCATCACAGAGCTCTGAAAAGATGTTGCTCAGTACATCTCAGCACGCCCTTCTTTGGAATGGTGAGCCTGGATCGTCATAAAACTCATAAAACAGGATGGATCCAACTCCATTCAGGGACCTAATCTCATCAACGATGTAGCAATGGAATGATTTGGCACATTGGCCTTTACCATAATAACACAGAAAAGGGATTACAACTATAGTATGACTACAAACCCATCTGTTTGAGGAGGTTCCCTGGAAGTTTATTAAAGTCATTGCCCGAGCCATACCCATCTTGGTTGGTTTACATTTCCATTCCAAATCTTCTTGACTTCGTGCCTTAACCCTCATGAGCCTCATGTCTCCCCATATTGAGTGTTGTGGTAAACCCAATAGCAAACCATAGCGCATTTACCCAATCTTACCATTGGGGCCTGAAAGACATCCATGATCCCCATAGTTGCGCAGAGATCCCACAATATCCCAAGTTTCAGGGCTTTTTTTCCCTGCTGTTTGATGCTTTAAAAGCCTCATCTTTGATGCGACTGAATCCCTGAAAAAGTCCAATCTTTACGACTAAATCGCATACAATCACTGGGTACTCCAATCTTGCCGATACCCGCTCCTCAAATTTTCAGGCAAGGTGCGCTTGACGTGATCCGAAAACGTCTCTGGGTTGCCCAGACGAACGTAGATTGACCTTGGGTCCATGGAGGTTCAAATCAAAGTCTCCAGCAATTTTAAATAATTGTGATGTCTCAGCAATGAACTGCAGACCTTAGATGAAATATGATGAAACCATATGAAACCTTATGAAATCATATAAAACCATGTAAAACCTTGTGGAAACCTCATGAAACCTTATAACACCTTATCAAACCTTATGACACCTTATGAAACCATATGAAACCTTATAAAACCTTATGAAACCATATGAAACCTTATGAAACCTTATCAAACCTTATGAAACCTTATGAAACCATATGAAACCTTATGGAACCTTATGAAACCATTTAAAATCTTATCAAACCTGTTGAAACCTTATGAAACCATATGAAATTATATATAAACCATGTGAAACCATGTGAAACCTCATGAAACCTTGTGAAACCATATGAAACCTTATGAACCTTTATGAAACCATATGAAACCTTATGGAACCTTATGAAACCATTTAAAATCTTATCAAACCTGTTGAAACCTTATGAAACCATATGAAACCTTATAAAACCTTCTGAATCCACATAAAATCATATAAAAACCTTATGAAACCTTATGAAGCCACATAAAATCATATAAAACCTTATGAAACCACATAAAATCATATATATATAACCATGTGAAACCTTGTGAAACCTTATGAAACCTTGTGAAACCTTATGAAACCATATGAAACCTTATGAAACCTTATAAAACCTTATGAAACCTTATGAAACCATATCAAACCATATGAAACCTGCTGAAACTTTATGAAACCTTATGAAAACACATGAAACCTTATGAAACCTTATGAAATCATATAAAACCATGTGGGAAACCTCATGAAACCTTATGAAACCTTATCAAACCTTATGACACC